AGACAGATGTATCGTATGGAACTGAAACTTGTTACAAAATTTCGTGTCGTTGTCACCGTTTCGACACGTTGTTGTATTGACGCACAGTGAATCTCATTGTTTGAATCACTATCAAGTCAATTAAAACGAGTACATGATTAAATTTATAATTTCGTCATCTAACAGTGAATATGCAATAAACTTTGGAATGTATTGCACTCAAAGGCATTCTCGTACAGATAAATAAAAAATACAGGTGCCATATTGCAAGATGCAGGATACAGAGTAATTAAAAGTAACACATTCGAGCTTTTATTGATAATACATTTCCAGTGATTGAAAGTATTAATTCAAATGCAAATAATTAATAGTAGTCTACCCGAAGGCAGGTCCATGGTATGAGAGTACCATAAAATCAATGATTTTCTTCCCTTCCCTTGTTTATTATTCCTATTACCGTTTTATTACCATTGATTAATGACCATTGCTTAAATATTAATTACTTTATTTGCATTTACAATTTATCAATTATAAATGTTGATGTAGAATTTTTTCCATAAGAATGCGAATTTCAAAAAATGCTTAAAAAAATTCTAAAAAAAATTGATGTTTTTTAATATTCTGACACGATTATTTTTGAATATTTTTTATTTTAAATTGCATGATTCTTTTAGGAAGAATAAAAGTATACAAAGCAATAATAAATAATTGGAAGAATTAAGATTCACTTTAAGTACACAAAATATAATAATTTAAATTAAATCTAAAAACGGTTTTGATCTTTAGAGGTATGTATTGTGCCAGTTTTACAGAAAGTACGGAACATTATATTAGGTAAAAATCTATGTAATTTTTTTTTAATTGTTTTTTGAACAGCAATCAGAACCCAATAGTCCTATAAGCTGCTGTGCTGATTTGACCTAATACTATTCTGTGTGACAGATGGCAACCCAATCAGTTGTCACATCTCTATATGATATATTACTATTACAATTTCTTTAATAGGGCGAGTATTTTTATTGGCGCAGCAATGCCGGGTGAGGGCTATTTTCACTTGGAAACATATTACTATCTATATTTCCAAGTAAAAATCGTTGTCATTGCTGCCTGACAACAGGCTGCTCAAAGTGGGTATCGAACCCAAGACCTCTGATTCAGGTCCCAGGACCTCTTAACAGCTTACCTACGGGCGAGCTCATCTATTTAAAATACGAGCAAAATTAAAATCTTTTAGGAAAAGGAGAGGTAAATAGATATAGAAGTATAGTAGATACAAAAATATGAATGAAATCTATTTAAAATGACTAGTGATTTTATGTGCATATATAATGAACTCAAATTTCGCCCGCAAATTTTATTTAGTAGGTACTTTTTAGTACTTCTGTACCAAGGCTCTGAGGCTTGTATAATTGTATAATTAGAATAATTGATTCGGGAATGTAAAAAACGTTCGCCAATGCATCAAAATTATTCTTTTAACTTCGTTGAATTAGCAGTTTTAATATCTTATTACGAAATAATTCTTTTTCCAATAAATTGCACATATGCTTGCTCAAGCATGTGTCACATCGTTGATATATATTTGTCATAATTTCCAAATGATGGACAACTCATGTTAGTATTTATTTCGCGTTAAATTTGTGCAGTACGGAGTACAGAATTAGTCAGATTCCTACAAGGACATTTACTGCGAGCATATAAGACTTCGTTTGCAAAACTAATTTGCGCATCATCGTCAAGCAGCACAAGTGTCAAGGTTACTCGCAAGTCTCACATTGATTAGATTCAATTATACGATATTTATATTCGAATAAAAAACTGGATACATTACTTATGAATATTTGTTACATTTTTTTGAAAATATATTCAATTAAATCTCTCAAAAATTAAAGCCTTTACTAAGTGACCATACGTCCCGGTTTGGCCGGGACAGTCTCGGATTTTCACCTGTGCCCCGGATTTTTCTGAAAGCATTATTAGTTCAGATTTAGATGTTCTGCCCCGGATTGTCCCGGGTTTCCAAAAAGTATGGGTGTAAATTGAATATTTGTAACTACTTGATAATAAAATTACAACCCATCAAATATTTGATAAAGATATTTACAACGAGTATGCTTATATGAAATAATTCGATATGAATGAGAAAATTGTCGAATACTAAATTCCAAAAGCCGATTGAAATAGCCTCTCACATCTCACATAATATTTCGTACTCTCATTTCAATTTTAAAAAAATTACCAAAAAATATGAAAG